CAATGTAATTAGAAATATAAGTGTAACAAATAAAACAAGAGGTGATCTGAACAGTTTTGAAAAATTCTATGCAGGGAGACACAAAATCTTTATAATGTAAGAAATGTGATACTCACAGAATAACAATGACACACAACATACATGTCTGGAATCAAAATAAATTTATAGAATTGGCTTCAGAAGCAGCCCCATCCAATGAATAACACCAAGAACTCTTGAAAACAAGAAGAGATGGAATAGAGTGCTTTCTCTGAACTCATGCCATATAAAACTTGAGTAACCACTCAATGGGCATGACTCCAGTGTTGGGCTTCACCCCATAGATGGAACCTGGAGACCTATCACCCATGAGTCAAATCAAACAAAGCATAATCCAATGGGCTGAAAAGAATAAAAAAACAAAAAATGAACAGCTAGTAAGAATGACAGTCTGCTCCAGTGAAATTTAAAGAATGTTGTGATCAATGGTATAAAAAAATCTGAATTATAGGACACAAGACTGGAGTCCAGAGAAAGGACTCAGGGGAATCTTCATAGGAGAGAAAGGAATTAGGGAGCCCCTCAAGGAAAATAATTCATTATTATTATTTATTTATACTGCTATAGTACCTAAAGTAAAAAGGGCCCAATCAGAATTGGCTCTGCACAGACATCTAGTAAGAGACAATCTCAGCATCTCTCACCTTTCTATATGACTTTATCTGATAGTAGTTTAGGCTGTATTCCAAGAAGTCAGGGCTTCTGCTCCCGTGTGCAGCATTTCATCTATTGCTTAAACAAAAAACAACGTTTTCTCTGTGGCTGGTAGGGTTTTCTTTAGATTTGTAATGTTTTCTATCTGGTTCTATCTGTGAATCACCTTATAAAGGTACTAGATATCACAGAGTGTGATCTGACACACAGTCATGTGTATGTGCCTCACACAACATTTGTTTTACCTGCACAATTTCTTTTTGCAGTTCACGAACACTGGCCTGGGATTCTGTATCTTCCTTCAGGGCCTATTAGCCAAGCAGGACTGTCCTGTCCTGTGCAGCAGTGTTTGAAATAGCTAATTTGCCAGAGTTTAGGAGACAGAGTCCTGTAGGAGAAGCTGGGGACTGCCACCTCAGAATACTATAGCTGCCATTTGCTGTAATCTGCTACCTTCTAAAGGCAACAACCACAAAACTGCTCAGATTTATCTGTGTGAGGCAGGGAAACCAGTCATTTGTGATGATTTATTAATATCCAGAGCAGGGCCAAGGCTCCACCAAAGGCAGTGAACTCCAACTTTCAACCCAAATGCTCTTAAGCAGCAAGCTGAAACCCTCCAGTATCTTGCAGTGTGTTTATTTCCAGTGCATCTATCCTCTTGTTCCTGAATTGTCCAATTACTGATACTATCGCCCTCTGCTGGCAGAACCTTCTATCACTGGCTTTTCTTTCTGGAGTATTATTTTATACAGTAAATCTAGGGACCAGTTGAACAGGTGAAATATAGTTCCGAGCCTTTTATTTTAATAAGTAGATGAATGAGTTCATGTTTGCAAATCACACTACAAATGCTGAGTATTAGTGATTATTGCTGTTTGTAAAAAAAGTCCCTTCAAACAGTTTTTCAATATAAGAATAGAGACTGACCTGTTCTTAGGTATTACTGGGACTGGTAAGTGACTTGTGCTGCCTTGGGCCTTATTCCAATAGTCACATTAACTTTGCCTTGTAGCACAACCTGTGTGTTTTATGGGACATGTCACAATGCAGGTAGTAATATACTACACTAGCCATTATATCTGAAAAACACTCAGTTCATCCAGTGATAAAGCTGTACAGTTAACAACACGAAAAGTCAGGAAATGCAGAAGTTAAAGTTTCAATAGAATGTTCATGTGGCTGAATGCTACATACCAGTGGAATCTTCACTTTTGCATTTCCTGACTTTTTGTGATGTTAACTGTACAGCTTTAACATGAAATGAACTAAAGGTTCTAGGGTATTTTTAAGGAAGGGAAGGGGTGAAAAAGCAGAAGGAAAAATCCAGAGCTTAGTTTCTGGAGCTTCCGAGCTTCAAGCTCTACATAAGCACTTCCCAAACTATGATCCATGGAGCACTTGCTAGTAGTCTGTGGAGAGATGTCTGGCCACCACATGCTGACCATCCTTATTTCCAGCTACTAAATTGCATTAAAAGAAGATGCAACTAGAATAACTACTTTTCTGATAATTGTTTTCCATGTAAGCAACTACTATAGTTGCCACAGAGAGTAATTTGACTGCCAAAGGAAAGGGAGATGGTCATAGGCCACTCTGTTGTCATGATAAAATGTGGGAACGCCTGCTCTACAAGAGTTCTGCTTTGGGAGTTCATAGGCTTCACCAGGACAGCTTGGAAGTTCTTTCAACCTATCAGTGCATTTTTACTGACTAGAGCCCTGAACCTTAGTCTCAGTACACGCTAGCTCTTACTGAGGACTATGTCCAGGCCAAGCTTCGCTCTTCAGGTATTCATTTTTTGGCTGTGGCAGGGTCTAAAAAAGTTGGGTGAGGATTTTTTGTATATTTTTTTCTCTCTTCCATTATTAAAATTTTCAAAAATTAAAATATAATCCACCTTTGGGTAAAGATAGGGTTACCATACGTCCATTTTTTCCCGGACATGTCCGGCTTTTTGGTAATCAAACCCCCGTCCGGGGGGAATTTCCAAAAAGCCGAACATGTCCGGGAAAAATACTCCCTGGCTTACCTTAGAGCGGGCGCCGGGGGCTGCTGTGCTCCCTGACTCCTGGGCTCTGTAAGAGCCGAGCTGCCCGAGCGCTACTGGCTTCGGGCAGCCCCCATGCCTCTGGACCCTGCACCCCTGGCCGGGCACTTCCCCTCCCGGGCTCCGGGGGCGCAGGGTCCAGAGGCATGGGTAGCGCTCGGGGCGCTCGGCGCTTCCGCTGCACAGGTGGCCAGGCAGCCTCTAGACCCTGCGCCCCCAGCTGGGCACTTCCCCTCACGGGCTCCAGCTGTGCTGGGCAAGTGCCGGCCGGGGGCGCAGGGTCTGGGGGCTGCCCGGCAAACCGTGAAGCCGGTAGCGCTCGGGCAGCCCTTTTTGCGTGGCTGGGAGGGAGGAGGGGGAATGCGGGGCGCTCAGGGGAGGGGGCAGAGTTAGGGCAGGGACTTTGGGAAAGGGGTGGAGTTGGGCAGGGAAGGGGCGGAGTTGGGGTGGGGCCAGGGTGGGAAAGGGGCGTGGCCAGGGCCCCGTGGAGTGTCCTCTTTTTTTATTTTTAAAATATGGTAACCCTAGTAAAGACCAGCCCTGGGGAAAAACATTTTTGGAAAGTTCTGAGCCTTTGAGAATGGAAAATAAGAATATTACCATAATTACTGTGGGCACTCCAAGCACCTGGTCAGTAGCTAAGACAAGGGGAGTCTGCAAAGGTTGGAGAACAAAAGTTAGTCCCATTTTGCCAACTGCAGTCCTTCCTGTCACTCAAAGCTCTAGGAACCTGCACTTTACTGTTAAAGTAAGAGAGAAAGGAAGGAGCAGGACAGGACACAGCAAGAGAGAGAGCAGCCAACCCATTTCTAAAGGTGTTCCCATACAAAAGGCTGACACTCGTGTCCAGGACAGAGCAACAGCAATACCGTATAGTGACAAATACCCCAATATTGCTGTAGGGTTAACCCTTTCTGATTTTCTGGGCTAAGACTAAAAATGCAGCTTATCTACCACCGTGTTTCACTTTAAGGAAGGAAACACGGTGGTAGATATTCCTCCACTCCCTTACATCCAGGGCAGAAACAAAACTTCAGTGAGAGAAGAACTGGGCATGAAATTCCACAGAGCAGAAAACTTCCATCCCAAGCCAAGAGGGCACAGTAGGTTCAGCATCCTAGTGATCAATGAACCTCATCCTAGGGGTCACAGACCTGCATGTGGTAGTAGGAGCCATTGAATATAATGTTCCAGAGATCAGAGAGCTGCTGGAGCCAAGCCCAAAACAGAATCAGATCACAATGGTAATGGAAACATTTATCTCAGCCCCAGGATGCTGCCGCTCAGGACCCTGGCCTACATCTAACTACTGTGATGCAGAAGGAGACTGCTTGATGGGAGGTATATAAGCCCCAGGATGATCAGAGCCTTATTCCCTGTGGACTAAGGAGAGGGGACTACAGGTTAATTAGAGCACCTGGAGCCAATTAAGGCCCCACCAGAGACCTAATAAAAAAAACCTACTTCAGTCAGCCAGGAGAAGGGAAGGAGAGCTGACTGTAGTTTGGAGGTGACTGGTGTTGACCAGAGGATCAGAGTACCGGGGCAGGGAGATCCTGCCCAAGCAGGGCAGAGGGACTTCCCCAGCACAGAGGACTGAGAGAAACCCTGCCCAAGGGGAAAGAGGGTAAGAAGCCTTCGAAGCTGAAGGGGCTGGGACCGGAGTAGGAGGTGGACTGGGTCCCTTCACTGCTCCCCTTTTCTCCTCCTCCAGGGCACTAGCGGAGCTCAAGAACAGGGGCAGGGGCAGGGGCAGCACCCTGACCCACCACACCAAGGAAAAGCATGGGACCCACCACAATAGCATTGGCCCTTTGCCAAACTACTCTACTGCCCAATATCAAACGAAGCAAAATTAATCAGTCTCTGTTGTGCCATTGGGTCCACACCCCTCCATCCCACAGCTTCTGTGATGCCACCAGATCCATATACCTATCTGGTGCCATTGAATCTGCAACACCAAATTCCAGGTTCTGTGGTGTGGTAGGATCTGAACCCTCTCCCCAAGAGGATCTGAGACCTCTGCAGGGTCTGGGAATGCTGACAGTCAGTGTTTAAATGACAAAACAGGCGGTAAAGGAAATGCAGGCTGTTAATCAGGAACCCCTGATGGAGTCCACAGTTTGAGTGTAACTAACACCAGCTCATCATAGTTTCAGGGGACAGAGTTCATTCCATTCCAGGACTATTAATATAGCCAACTATTTATATTGCTGCGTTCCTACAGCACTAAAGCAGAGAGCTACAGCTGCAGAGCTAAAACGGAATAAAATGTCAGCCACCAAGGAGAAAGTGATCATGCTAGAGACTGAAAGAAGAGACCGTGAAAAGACAGAATAAGAGACAATCTTCACAGATCCTGCCTGGTACTGCCGGGTTAACTGATCTTCATAGCTCTCGGATACCTGCAGCCTGAAAACCGAACCAGTCAATAATCTTACTACAGAAAATGAAGCTATTCTGAGAGGTTGCCAGAAATGCACGCTCAGCGAAGATTCTGATAGAGGGATAGAGAACTGAGCTAACCTGAAAGGAAGCTTTGCGGTCTCCAACTGCCTTGTTACCTGCTCTGATCAGACTATGGAGAGTTCAGGAGGGCCGTATCTGAACACAGCAGCAGTGGCATCCCCGGTGGGAGTAGCCCGTTTGCTGCAGGTGGCGTTCGGATGTACTACTTTCAGCCTGGTGGCCCATCAGGGGGGATTCAGTGCAGCCTATGGCACTTTCTGCATGTTCGTCTGGTGTTTCTGTTTTGCTGTCACCATCTTTATAATAACCTGTGAGTTCACTCGTCTCCACAGCTGCCTGAGCATCTCCTGGGGAAATTTCACAGCTGCCTTTGCCATGCTGGCCACACTCATGTCCATCACTGCGGCTGTGATCTACCCGCTCTATTTTGCCCAGTTTGGCTGTTATTCCATCAGTTGCAAGGTGAGAGATTTCCGCATAGCAGCCAGTGTCTTTGCAGGGCTCCTGTTCATTGCGTATGCTGTGGAGGTGTTTCTAACCAGAGCCAAGCCAGGACAGGTGACCAGCTACATGGCCACAGTATCTGGCCTCTTGAAAATTGTCCAGGCCTTCGTGGCCTGCATCATCTTTGGGGCACTGGTAAATGACAGTCAGTACAGCAATTATGTGGCTACACAATGGTGTGTGGCTGTCTATAGCTTCTGCTTTGTGGTGACAGTGGTGGTAGTGGCCTTCAATGTCACAGGAAGGACAGCAATGCTGCGGTGCCCCTTTGAGCGCTTCGTGGTCATTTACACATTCGTGGCCATCCTCATGTATGTGAGTGCAGCAGTGATCTGGCCAGTGTTCTGCTTTGATAGTAAGTATGGGTCCCCATGGCGCCCCTACCAGTGCTCCCAGGGCAAATGCCCCTGGGACAGCCAACTGGTGATTGCTATATTTACTTATGTGAACCTGGTGCTTTACATTGTGGACCTGGCATACTCTCAACGCATCCGCTTTGTCTCACACCCTTAAATTCCCAATGCTGCCCCTGCAAAGCCATCAGGGCTCAAGCAACAACAGAGCTGGGAATCAGTTGGAGACAGGGGTCATAGAAAGTAGCTGCTGAGCCAGACACACCAATAAATTAAACAAACTTCAAGGTTAAGACTAGACCTGTAAATGAACAATCTGTAATGGGTGGGCAGCAGATGAGTCGGGAAAGAAGACCACAACCTTTCTTACCCCCTCAACATTTGCTTCCTCCCTTCTGTATAGGGGAAAGGAATAGCATAGCAAACTGGATAGTATCCTTGCATCTCCACCAAACATGAACATCTGCTGCAAGAGTGGCTACGTCTGCCACTGGATTATCAGGCCAAATATTAAGCAGGGATCAGTGAGGTCGTGGGACTGCTACCAACACTGAACTCTAACCAAGAAGGGACTGTATCCAGGGAGACTGAGGAGTTCAGAGACAGCACCAGCTCTAGAACAGAATGAGGATCCTTCAAAATCCCAGACCTTTGATGTTATTTCTGTTATGGCGAGAAATTCATTGCTTGTAAATATGGGAGGTTCTAGCAAAATGGGTCTGAGGGGGAAAAACATGACAGCAATTACGCTGATTTGAAGACTAGGAGCCCCCTCACTGGCCCACACACACTGTGGAATAAGCGTCGCCTTGTGTATGTGCCAGGTTGAAAAGGTTAGGGATATTCTTGTTAAGGACACTCTGAGCCATTACAGAAGTGAAAGTTGCTGAGTCATAGCTCTACTACCCAGAACTGGAGTGTGTGCTGGATCCAAGGCCTCGAAATAACCACTTTTAGTTTGAGCTGTTCACTGTTCACTCAAGCAGGGTCTGGAGATACAGTAGCTCCGTGCTCATGTAAAAGTTGCTTAATAGGCCAATATATATATATGAAGTGATGGAAATTAAAGGTGTGTTCTGTGGGGAAAAAGAATGGGGACAGAAATGGACTGGTCCCACCCTACTGCTCCAGGCCCCTGCAGGTTACAGATAAGATGATCAGCCTCATGGGGGATAGGGGGAAATGCTTAAATCGTTAATGGATCCAGCCAATTTTCTCAGACCAGATTAAATTCCAGGACCCCCTAACTCTCTGCCCTTTGCTTTACCTGCCAGCTGCACAGCCACCTCCCTAATCCTTCTTCAGCAAACACCCTCTCTGGTCTCCTATAGCATGGCTCAGGATTTCAGGTTTACTCCCCATGGAAACTGCCTTCCTTCACCCAAGGGAATTCCCAATCCAGCAAGAAACCAAAGCAGTTTGTTTTTATTCAGATACTTGTACAGAATGTGTGTGAATCTAATAGGAGGTCAGATTAGAAACCACAAATAAAAATGACACATTGTCAAAAGTAACTGTGTTTAATTTGCCACACCGGTAGCATCTGACAACAAAAGCCACATGGTAACCTTACAATGCACACACCCACACAGCTCCATACACTCCCACCGTCCCCTCCCCAGATACAGCCTCTCCAACTTCACCTTTCCCACCAGACACTCCTCTTCTATCCTCCCCCCAAAAAAATCCCACCTTATCTTCCCCAGACAGACCCCCCCCCAACACAGATTTCCACACATTCCTTCCCCTACCCCCCAGAAAAGCACTGCCTATAGTTTATTTTTTAATGTATAAAGTGTGCGCTGTCTAACATGACTCAGGATGGGAGTACAAAATCTAATAGTCAAGTCCACTGAGCACCATGTTCTGCACCAGGGTCTCTAAAGATCCCAGCTGTTCTCTCTCAGCAGAAGGTGCAATCTGGAAGGAAGGAACCATTTCACAGTATCTCAATACAGATCATGGAGTTTGGGCAGCTAAAGAAAAACTATGTGGGAGATGTTGGGTGATTCTGCTGCTCTCTCTCCAGGTTAGAAGCAACCATTTTGGCTAGAACCCCAGGGACAAGCTTTATCAAGCCCAAGACAGAGAGCTGCTCCCACAGTCAAACAAGAAAATGCATGAAAGACCTTTCCCAAGAGGGTTTTCACCACACTAGGGAGCAGTAGACAAAAGCCTTACAGGGGATTTTCCTCCTGCACAGATTCCCAGCTTGGACAGGAGCTCTAAAAGGGAGTGAGTGGCTCTATTGGAAGGCATCCAGCTACATGGAGTCAGCCAGCTCAATGGGACAGTAGTAATAGAAAGAGACCAAAACTATGTAGCGTGGTACTAGATAACTAGGGGTGTTTTATGGAATGCAACTTTATGGCTCAAAATCAAAAGAAACCAAAACCAGGAAATTCAGATACATTTATTCAACAATCTGAATTCTATCCCTTTCATTTAGAATTTGGTGCACTTTGTATTGTCTATGTTGTTAAATTTAGGCATAAATGCATCCAGTAGCAACTGGAGCCCTTGTAGATTCCTGGAGTGGTTTCAATTCCAAATCAAATGTCTTGAGTATGCACATTGCATGTGGAAGTGCATTTATCTCACTTAATTAAAAGTCGACAAAAGTAGTCATGGTACATAACTATTCAAAGAAATATTCAATTGGTATTATTATATTTTTTTAACTCTATATCCCACCAAATAAAAAAAAGTTGTCCACACCCCATCTAGTCTAGGTTTTACTGAAAGTATTTATTTTTGTTTTATTATTTATTATTGTAAGTATTGTTTGTTTGTTTGTTTGTTATTTATTGGATGGACTTGGCCCAGATGCTGGGAAAGGTGTGGAACTCTCTATACAGGAATTATTGGCTTGCTTTGTAAAAAGTGCAAGTGGAAAAAGGGACTGTCTCTTTAAGACACCATGTCTTTGAGGAATCTGCAGTGGATATAAAAGGCCTGGCAGGAGCCCAGGGAGTTGGTCACCAGTGACAGGTGTCCAGCAAGCAGGCGCTGTTTATTGCTGGAGATGACATCGCTAAGTGCTGTGTGCAGTGAGGGCTGAGTGCAGAGGCGCCGACTTCCCCAGTTCCCGGGGGGTACTCAACCCCTGCTCCACCCCAGGCCCTGCCCTCACTCCAGTTCTTCTGCCCCTCACGTTCCCATCCCCACCTCACCTCTTCCCGCGCGCTCCCTCACCTCTTCTTGCCCCTGCTCCTCCTCCCAAGCCTCCTGAATGCTGCTGATCAGCGGCGGGTGGGAGGTGCTGGGGGTGGAGAGGAGGAGCTGATCTGTGGGGCTGCCAGTGGATGCTGAGCACCCACTTTTTTTTTTTTTTTCTGTGGGTGCTCCAGCCCTGGAGCGCCCACAGAGTCAGCGCCTATGCCTGATTGGAGTTTCCCTCCACTCTGAACTAATTACCTGGGACTTGGAAAAATCTGCCAATGATACAAAATAATGTGTATTATAGGAGACTAAGGTCTTGTCTACACTACAAATGTTTTGCCAGTATAGCTACTGTATATTGGCAGAGCCCCCTAGTGTAGACATAGTGACAGAAGGAGTTTTTCTGTCAGCATAGTAACACCACCTTCCTCAACAACATTAGTTATGCTAACAGAAGCTCTCTTCTGTCAGCATAGCTGTGTCTACATTGCAGGTTTTGCTGGGATCACTATGTCCGCTATGGAGTGCGTGGTTTCACACCCCTGATTGATATAGATATGCTGATAAAAATTTGCAGTGTAGATATGGCCTAAGGAGAGTAAGGAACTGCAGATGGGTCCAGCAGAATATGGTATCTGAGCAGCAGGAAGGCAGGTGAAATTCAATATCTTGTATAGACACAGAAAGATACAACTTCAACTCAGACACAGTGCTGGGGCCTAAATAAGGTCACATCCTAGGAACAATCTAGGTATTGTGCACTGATCAGTGACAATGTCTGCTCAGCTGTGCCCATCAAAAGAGCAAATAAGATGTTAAGAAGGAGTGTGATTGATGTGAGTATGCTTGGTGGTGAATATGGATCTGGATGCTAAACATATTTTTCTGTATAGGGTTTCTGAGGTGGTGTGTTGGAATGCTGGGCAGAAAACTTTTAGCACGTGTCTAGTCAAAACTGTAGAAAGTTCTCTCAATGTCCAAAAGTCCCAGCTTTGGCTGCTTCTGCTCCTACCAGCTGGCGTCTCCAGCTGGCTCCCCTCTCCAGTTTTCTACCAAGGCAACATAGAGAGAGAACATAAGAATGACCATATGGGTCAGACCAAAGGTCCATCAAGCCAGTGTCCTGTCCTCTGACAGTTGCCAATGGCAGATGCCCCAAAGGGAATGAGGGATGTGCTGGCCGCTGCTTCCCACTGCCCCCATTGGCCTGGAGCAGCAAACCGGGGCCACTGGGAGCCGCGATCAGCCGAACCTGCGGACGCAGCAGGTAAACAAACCGGCCCGGCCCGCCAGGGGCTTTCCCTGCACAAGCGGCAGAACAAGTTTAGGAACTACTGCTCTAAAGGAAAGAAACTCCAGAAAGGAGGAAGCGTAGTAAGGAAATACAAATAGGAATTAACACAATCCTTTCTCACACCTGCTGTGCCCCTTAAATCCTCTTCCTCCATTGAAAGAAAGGCTCATTGATCCCTGAGATATGCCACATTCCTTTCAAAGGAGACACTGTTGCTGCAGCAGTATACCAAGGCAGAATCAGACAAAAGAAGATAAAATGGAATGTTTGGAATCAACAGCTGGAAAAGGCCACTTCAAAATCAGTTCTATCTCAATTAAGGTCACAGCTCTGATGTGGAGAGACAAGAACAGAATCCATACCCTTGTTTATTAGGTCTCAATTCTTAATGAACTCCAGCCCTGTACCCTAAGCACCATGCTGTCCCAAGGAGCAAAGACAATGTTCATTCAGTTCTTAGTTTCTCCCCACCACTGAGGCACCAGGGCAACCCCTTGAGCTGGGACTGAGAGGGATGGACATACATATTTAAAAAATCTATTTTAATGCAACTTTATGGCTCAAAATCAAAAGAAACCAAAAACAGGAAATTCAGATACATCTATTCAACAATCTGAATTCTATACCTTTCATTTAGAATTTGGTGCACTTTGTACTGTGTATGTTGTTAAATTTAGGCATAAATGTATCCAGTAGCAACTGGAGCCCGTGTAGATTCCTGGAGTGGTTTCAACTCCAAATCAATTGTCTTGAGTATGTTCTGCAAGAACTACAATGAAAAGTTGGACCCTTCTATGTGAAGTCATCATCACAATGTTCCTCTGTAGCACACATGTACTGATAATGAGATGTGTCCCTCAGATTGTCTGAGTACAAATAGCAGCCTTCATCACTTTGATTCACGCAGCTGGAATTCTATGGAAGGGCCTAATGTGTTATGAAGCCCCAACATTGGCTGTGCTGCAGCCCCTGAGGCAAGAGATTGAGATTCCTGCACCAAAAGTGTCAATTCATCCAATTAAGGGGTTAGTGGTCTCAAAAAGCACTCCAACTGCAAACACTCACTCTCCTGCTGATGCAGAGGAAGAGGAATGCCTCAAAGCTAGGGCCTGCAGCAGAACTCCACTGAGGGGACTTCGGCTATGTCTACACTTGCAGAGTTTTTGCGCTGTCAGTTTCACCAGTGATAGGGAACCGGTAAAAGAAAAGCGCTGGTTTGTGTTCTTACTTACTTCCACAGGCGTCAGATTGTTTTCACATTTACAGCACTTCCATCCAATGAGAGCAGCGCACAGAGGGCAGCTATCCCACAGTGCTGCTCTCTGCATTTTGAGGATAGGTCTTGTGGGAAGGGCAGGGGGGTGATAGCGGGACATTCAGGGTCCCTGCACAGCCTCCTCTCCCCAAACACTGATCAGTTCCAGTACCTCAGTATTGCTCCCTGGAGCAGCCATTGACACCTGGCCAGATGATAAGTGAGCACTTGCCAAGAAAACAGGAAGGGGGAGTTTCAAAGTTCCCAGGGCTTTACAGGGGGAGGGGTAGACATCGGTTTACCTGGCATCAAAGCAGCAGAGCTGCTGGCCAGAGTGGTCATCTAGGCACTATGGGATATCCGCTAGAGGCTAAAAGCTGTGTAAACAGGAAGAATGTGTCTTCACTTGCACATCACCACAAAAGTATCACTGGTAAGAACTGCATGCCTCTTGTGAAGGTGGTTTTCTGTTTGCGGTGAAACTTCTGAGTTTTACCACGAAGAGTCATTGACCAGATGCTCCCATGTTTTTTGCACAAAAAAGGGACTTTTTGTGCTTTAAAGGGCAAGTGTAGACATGCCCACAGCCTCTCTCTTTTTCTCCTGCTTTGGTCTTTTGTGCAGAGGCTCAGTGGTGCAAACAGTTTCCCTAGTACGTTTATTAAGATTTATCATTACTCAGTTTCCACTCAAGAATTTCTTTATTAGTCCAAAGGCCATTTGATGTTGGTTATGTCCAAAATATCAATACAAACAAACACACACATATTCAATATCCACCAACACTACAATTACAAGCACTGGCCAAATACTCACAACAGAATCAAGCTCAAGAAATACCTTCCCTTCATGGCGAGACTCCAGAGGAGTAAGGAAAAGTTCTGACAAAGAATATCCCTAAACAATTTGCCTTTTTATACACTATAATAAACCAGTGATGATGATATATATAT